TCGAGAACCCAATCGAGGACCGCCTCTCTACGCCCCTGTTCCTGCCGCCCCACCCGCTGACGTTCGAAATATCGCACACTATGGCAAGGACGCGTATACTACCACATAGAAATGCATTGTATGTCGTCACACCCGCCCACTCGGTCGCTTGTCGACTGTCCGCTCACTAACACGTTCATGTACCTGCGATAACGGGGAAGGCAGCCTCACGATGCAGCCTCCACCCACTTTGCACATGGGACTCCACCTAACTCACGAATGGCACGTGGCTTCTCCACAGAAACGTCCACTCTGCACTCTCTCCCGCCACTTGTTTTTTCTTCGAAAACTAGAATAATAGCTCTTCTATGTTCATACGTTTTCTGTTTCATCTGTTCAGTTCAAGAGATGTTTCTGAGACGGCCATTATAGAACGTAGCGAATAACTAAATTTTAATTAAAGATTTTATAATATTAAAATAATATGTCAATTATAAAGTTTTTTTAAAAAAGATGAAAAGGAAGATAATTAAATTGAATATTCGCAATTTTAAAGCGCGCTTATGCACATACCTACATACCGATAAATACCTAAGCGTTACGGGATATATGTGCGCGCGCGCGCACACACTACTCAGTGATCGTAGTCAACGATCTATGTTCTCCTTTTTTGGTCGATACACTTTATATGTTATTATTGTAATCTTTCTTAAGAAATATGATTACATGAAACATAAGTCAATTTTAAATCTATTCTTTATCATTGGTTTTGTAACACCAGAAAATTAACTATGTTCAAAATTGCCGCCAAAAGTAAAGATATAGGACAAGCCGATATTCTCTCTTCTTTCTGTGACGTTTAAAACAAAAATCTTTCTACCAATGTTCTTTGATTAAATAAAGTCTTCGTTCAGGAAACAATATTATGCTGGTTTTATACCACGATGCACGATATAATTTCAACGTGATTTCAACACGTGCACGTAGATCGCAACGTGTTCGTCGGCCGTCCCTCGCGAAAACAAGGCTACGAATACCGCTATGAGAGGACTACTTTTGCCGTGGGGCGGTACACAAGGTGGCAACGTCGCCGTCCGCCAAGTGATCGGACGGAAGCTCTGATTGGTCGTTGCTTATTCCTGATAGCTGGCAGTGAGCAGAGGTTCGTTAGACAGGGGCGTACGCAGACATCATCGGACGCCCACCCCGTCAAAGAGGGATAAACGATGCACACCTCCTACTTTCTCTGGCCTTCCTTCCCCTCTTTTTACCAGTACCCTCCGGTCAGGGCCACGCTTGAGTAGAGTTGCGAATATTGGTACATATATCATTGTTACTTTTGGGTTAGTCTTCCTTTTTTTTTGTCACTGATATAAAAACGTTAACTGATCTAGACTGTTTCTAGATCCATTGTAAATGTTTATCCAAAAAAAAACTTCATACTCGTTATCACCGTCCTTTTTTTTATAATCAAGAAACAAACTTCAGGAATCTTTTTTGTTTTAATTAAATATGTGTGGAATAATAAAATAAATTGTATAAAAATTTTATATTATTCAAGATTGTAAATCAGAGGCAATGAATTCACTTTTTTGGTAATTCATATTTTTTTTTCTAAAGGCTTATAAATTTTATTGATTTTATTAAAACATAATTATTTTGTACATAATAATACATAATAATAATTTTTTAAAAATATCAATCAGATTTAATTTAATAAGGAAAAATTGATATAAAAATAATTTATTTGAAAGAAATTGTTTTAAGAATTAACATATATAATAAAAGTTCAATTTAGCTTTTATTAAATTAATGGTAGGGACTAATGACAAATGAAATAAATTAATCTAATTGATTGTATATTGTGATTACATGAAGTTAGCAGCAATAAATTAAATTAAGTATATTAAATAATATTAAATAATCAGACCAACTATATATTGATATAGATTGATTTTTAATATACATTATGTATATTAATAATTAACATAATTTATAAACAAATCTATTGAAAATTTTAAAAATCCAATGGCATGTGTGATTATATCACATATAACATAATATTTAGATAAAAAATATTTATTCAAAACTTGATAATTTTATTTTAATAAGTAAATAGTAATAAATTATATGTAGAAGAATAAAATTATACATTATTTTATATTATATTGGCATTTAAGTTTTGGAACACATGATAACTTTTTAATAATTGTACAATCATAATTTTAATGATTATAACATTTAAAACATTCACAACTTATACATAAGATCACAAGATTTATATTCTTGAAAATAGTTTTCTGAAAATTATACCGATTCAAGATATGATATTTTTATAATTATAAATATATTTTATAAATATATTTTATATTGATGCATTTCAAAACGTATATACAGACATAGAGATAGAACAAATCTGTTCTATTAATGAAAACTGAAACACTGTACATAAAGATATTTACATATTAAAATTAAAATTTATATCATGATCATGTTTTTATTTGAAGTTGATTATTAAAATAAATAAGTTACGGCGCAGCCGTATTTAATTTATATTATATTTAAAATCTTTTTTTCATCATGTCTTATTCATTGAGAGCTTGAAAGCTGAATAAAGATAAAAAGTTATATAAAGTACGAAAAAAAATGATTGATAGATTTGTTAAAAATATTCTAAAAATTGTTAAAAATATTCTAAAAATAAAATATTCTAGTGAAGATTTTGCCTAAAAAACATTCTAAAAAATTTGTACTAAAATGAGCTACAATGAAAATTCAAAATGAAGAAATCCTAAGAAAGAATTCATTAGAGTTTTAAATATGTGAATCACATTTAGAAGCATACGGAAAATTATACAATGCTGCAGAATGTGAATTTTTTTACAATCCACCGCCTGATCTTTCTACGCTAATCTGTTTTTTCAATATTTCTTTCTCGTGTTGCGCCTCTTCCATCTCTGCCATTCTTGCAAAACGTGAATATGCCACATGTCCAGATTTTATGGCCGACATCATCTATGTTAAATAAAAAAAAAAAAATTAATTTTAATATTTAAAAAACAAAAAAAAATCATATTTTACAAAATTTAAAAATAATCACGGTTTTACAATCTGGCACAAGAGCAGCATGATATTAAAATATTTTGCAAAAAAGAAAAAAGGAAAACAGAAAAATATTGAAATATTCATAAAAATATTATAATCATAACATTAAGACAAGACATTTTGATTAGACAGGTTACTATTATGTAATCATGGCATTCGTGCAACAAAAAAAAAAATTAAAATTTGTTATATAAAATATAAACATATAAAGTATTATTATAGATCATATTATTATATTATATCCAACAGGTCTCTTTTAATATTTTTCTATATATTACAGTAGATATAATAAAACAACTCTGAGTAATATTAAAAATAACCAAGCCCTAAATATTATATGTAATAGAACTACTAAGAAAATTTGAAAGCGACAGCAAAACTATACGTATGCACGAGCTTTCACAGACCTGAAGATATTCGTCCAATTCGACCTGACCATTCATATTAGTGTCGATTTCGCGCAATATTTCATGAAGCTCTTCACCAGGTACTTCTTTGTCACCGAACAGCTGTGAATAGTAAAAGAAATTCCGATTAAGTATATATTTTACGATTTACCTGTAGATAGTCTTGTAACTCCATTTGCCCATTGTAATTGAGATCAATTTCATTGAGCAAAATATGTATCTCATCTTCATTCAATTTTATGCCAAGTACCTGTATATTGACAATTAAGTATTTAACAAAATAAATAGAAATAAAGACAAACAAATTTAAATAACGTAAAACTAATATATTTTATGCAAACCTTAAGTCCTCGTCTAATATCATTAATAGAAACGTAGCCTTTATTGTCTTTATCGATGATTCCAAAACGCTTAATATATAACTGAATTTCTTCTTTTGTGAGATTAATAGGAATTTTATCACGAGATGCACGATTAACCATTTGTCCCATTTCATTAGCGAGGAATTCACTAGCTTCTTTTGTTTGCCTGTTTTTTTCTTCTGGCGACCAGTGTAATTCTTCTGCCATGATATCAATGATACCTGGAAGAGCTTCTTGTGCAGCTTGAACATTCAAAAAAGCTAATCTCAATCGTCTTGCGATCATATCAATTGCTGTTCTCGCATATTCACGAACTCCATATCGAATCTAAAATACATAATAATTATCTATTTTCATAAATAAAAAAATAATAAAATTATTAAGAACAATAAAAGATTTACTTCTGCATCGATGTATGGAAATTCAGGATGAAGTTTTTTGCCTATAATTGGCCATCTTTTACCAGTAAGAGAAGCCATTTTTGCTACAGCGAATGCACGATCCCCATAACTCTTAGCTAGATGTTGTGCAACTTCACATTCTAAACCAAAATCTTGAACTAGTCTAATATACATCGTTGGACTCCAACCATGAGCTCCCTCGAGAAGTAAACCATTTGTTTGACAAGATCTTTCAGGTTTTAAATCACAAGCTTAAGAAATAATATAAAAATAATAATAAAATTTAATAAAACATATATATATATTTTACATATATATCATATTATACCTTTAATAGCTGCATCGATAGTTTCCTCTGCCATAGCTCTATATGTCGTCCATTTTCCTCCAGCTATTGTGATAAGTTTCGTAGGACTAACATGTACAATATGATTTCTGGCAAGAGATTGAGTGTCCGGTTTGTTCGGATCAGAGACGAGAGGTCTAATTCCACTCCAAGCAGATAATACATCTCCCCTGCGAACTTCAACATCCGGATTGAGATAGTTCTTTACTTCATGTAAAATGAACATAATTTCATCTTCAGTTGGTCGAGGATTATGTGTTATTTCGCAGGGTAAGTCAGTTGTTCCTGCAATTGTTTGTTTTTGCCATGGTAAGAAAAAAATCACTCGGCCATCACTTGTTTCTGGATCCAATAAACCCATTTGATCAGGACTAAATGAAATTTATATAATTAATTATAAATTTTTTAACATATTTTTATAAATTTAAGTTTTATAATTAATTCAATTATTCACCTATAATAACCTGGAAGAACAATGTGAGCACCAGAAGAAGGAGAACAAATTTCTTTAACATTTTGGTCATCCATTTTTCTAATATGATCCGTGAATGGACCCGTTGCGTTTATTATTGCCTTTGCTTTTACATCCCATTGTTCACCTGTAAGTTCATCTTTCACACGTGCACCAGTAAGGATTCGATTACCATCCTTTATGAAATAAAAATATTATCTTAAAATATTTTTATATAGTTTATTTTTATATAGTTTTCATCACGATTTATAATCAATATTAATAAATATTAATACCTTATCAAGACCTTTCAAAAGATTAACAACTTTAACATGATTTACAACTGTGGCACCATGTCGCGAGGCTGTTAGCGCAATTGCTAAATTCATTCTGGCATCATCTTGTTGACCTGTTATATAAAAACTATGAAATTATAATATTTAATACTTAAAACCAAAAAGACATATCAAAAATATACCATCATAATAAACAATAGCTCCTGTAAGTTTGTCTCCTTTCAGCATGGGAAATAATTCTAATGCATTTCTTTTGCTAAGAAAATATGACGATTTTACTGTTTTTCTTCCAGCAACAAAATCATACATTTTTATACCAACCCAAAAGTAAGGAATTTGCCACCATCTTTTGATAATAAAATAATAAGTTATATATTATATAATAATTATTTACTAAAAATTAAAAAAAATTAACATACGTATATACAGGCAACATAATAGGCAAAGGATGAGCCAAATGAGGCGCGCTATGTAACATAGTCGCTCGTTCTTGTAATGCTTCTTTAACCATTTTATATTGTTCGACATCAACATGCATTATAGCTTTTTGTAAGTAACGAACGCCTCCATGAATAAGTTTTGTACTCCTAGAAGATGTACCAGAAGAAAAATCATCTCCTTCAATTAAAGCTGTTTTCAAACCTAAGATCAAAAGCAATAAATAGTTAATAAATAGTTAATAATAATAGTTAATTAAGTTAATGTAATTGAGAATATTTAATAAATTTAATAAATAAATAAATTACCTCGTGTACAAGCATCTAATGCACATCCAGCTCCTGTTGCACCACCACCTATAATAAGAACATCATATTCGCTAGTATTCTTCAATGTTTTCACTTGTTCTTCTCTAGTTGGTAAAGGCCTCTTTAATGGCCGTGGATTGCATACATCCGCATGTACCTACCGACAAATAATACCGCTAATATTATTTTTATTTTAATAATTATTTTTTTCAATTATTATTAATATTATTATTTTTTATTATTAATTATTAATGTTTTTTAAAATTAATTAATAATCAATTATTATCATGAGAATAATTGAAAATAAACAGAAAATGATTATTTCTGTCAATAAAACAGTCAAAGATGAAGCAAGTACAACAAAATGAAAGAACTCTCTGTATAAGTATTAGTACAAATTAAATTATTATTTATTGTATTGTAAAACAAATCGCAATGAGTGATTCTTTGCAAGTTAACTTTAAATAATCATTAGTCAACAACAAAATTAATTGTTAGCTCAATTATTATATATTGTATTCAATTTCTCAAATATAATTTGATCAATGTCATTCTCATATTCATACTTTTATATAATAAATTAAATTTTATATAGATTTATATATTTATTATTTAGTTTTTACGATATATCATTTAATCAAAACGAAATGTTTATATATTTAGATAATCTATAGCTCCGAAAAACAATCGTGTATCAAAATAGACGAGCATCTCTAATGGCTTATCCTAGCCTGGCACAGATCTTCTCAGTAATGAAATTTTGTTAACCACGTGACTATAAAATCTTGACTGCTGCATATAATATAATCAGTAAGATTTTCTTAATGTTATAAACTAAATTTAAGAATATGGTAATTTATAGAATCTTTATGGTGAAAATGCATGACAATTTTATTAATAGCGTTTTGCAATTCTCTTAAATTATATTATATATATTAAATTAAATTTTATATATATTATATAATGTAATATAATATAATATATTATTTATAAAAAAAATCAGAAATAAATAATAATAATTACAATAGTAAAAGAATTATGTATTTCATTATAAAAATAAAAAAAAATTAAAAAATTTCATAAATCATACACATATAAAAAAAAGGCCAATAAATCTATCTTCATTTTTAAATTATAGATATAATATAATTAGGTCATTCAAAAAATCCATAAATCTACGTTATATTCATTTCCGTTTTTTTAAATGTGATTTTACGATTAACATTTAAGAGAAAAATTTATTATCAATTGCATGACTTGTTTTTATGAAAAAGATATCACAAAAAAAAAAAAATAAAGAACAAGATATAAATTTATTATAGCTAAATAGTGATTAACTATACTTACTGTATTATCGGACATTAATAGATAAGAAGTAAGAGCACTAGCACCGATGGCACTTGCACCACCCACTAATAGTTTCAATGATGCCATTTTATATCACTTATAATGGAACAATTTTTCGGAAGAAATCTAGAAATCAACAAAAATATATTTATTATTAATGTTAATTTTAATCTTGTTATTTAACGAAAATAAATAAAATATAATGTATGTGTAAAAAAATACGTACAAAAACTTATAATAATATATAATAATTAATAAAATATCTATTTGAATAATAAATAATTATTACAAAAATTTTTTTTTTATATAAGTAAAATAATTTTTTTTTATATAAGTAAAATAAATCAAATAGATGGTTGCGAAATAATCTTTTGATGGGTTAATTGTTATTAATCGTTTAATTTAATGAATCATCATTTACGTTATTTGGCAATATATCAACAGGTGCACTGTACACAATAACGATAAGAAAATATGCAACTATTAAAAAGAAATGTAATAAAAATATTATTAAATATTATAAATAAACTTAGAAATATATAAAATGGAATTACAAATATATAAATGAAAACAATATAATGTATATCCAACTTAAGAGTTTTAAATATGTAATCATAAAGACATATAAATGTTTTGAGTTTTTCGCAAATATTCATATTTTATCCTTTTAATTGCTATTGGTGCTTTATGATCATGTTCAGTGTATTGTAAATAACACTTTATTATGACCAAACACTTCCTATTTTTTATTTCAAAAAATTAAATATTTATGTATTAAATATTCTATATTTAACATTATTTGTTTTATGATGCATTGGCAAATATCCCAAAATACTTTTATCGCGATCAAATGTGACATACCGTTTCTATATCTTTTTTGTATCGTGTCATGTGGCATACTGATGTGTCATATGAAACATATTGCTTACAATTTTTATACATACAATGATGTAATACATCAGTCTAATAATTAAGAGCTCTGTGAATCTAAAACTTATTATTCAATCAAAGTGCTATAATTATTGAACTAGCTAAAATTTCTTATGGAATCTATATTTTTTAATAAGAAAATCCATATTGATAAATTACTGCATATATCTTTATTAACTTATCAATTACAAAAAAATTTATGTGATAAATAAATGATAAACGATTTACATAATTACATAATAACAATTTAAGCGTAGTATATGTAAAACTAATAAAAGTTCGTTTATAAATAATTTTGTTAAAATATTTTATGTTAAGATTTTTTATTTTCGTTTTTTATAATATTATAATATATATTATTTATAAAAAAATCAAAAATAAATAATAATAATTACAATAGTGAAAGAATTAATTTATCGATTAGATTAATTGGTTTTAGCAATAAATAATAATTTTGTCATCAATTCTATATATTAAATAAAATGCGTTTCTAATTATATTTAAAATAATAAATGTAATTAATTTTAATAAAAATAACAAACATAGATGGAAAATTGAAAAAAAAGTATCTAATATAATCACTTTCTATTTTATCGACAACCATTTTGTTACAATATCAAATCAAACATGCTTATTTAGATTTGTTTTTTATTTTTATTAAAAATTTGTGTATTTGTAAAAATTTACAAATCTTATATTATATCTTATTATATTAAGCAATAATATTGATATTGTGATACTTATTAATATTCTAATAAAATATTGATAATTTTGAATTGAAAATGATATAGGAAAATGCACGTGACATTAAAGTATTTTTTATCAGTGACGTATTCGTTTTCTTCTCTCTTTCAATCAAGAATTAAATTAAAATAAAATAATTAAAATAAATAAAAACAATCATAAAAAAATTATAATAATAAATAAAATCATATAATTTATTACTATAATTAAATATATATCTATTAACTATATATCTATTCATGATATCTTGATTTTCAAAAGATGAAGAAATAATTTATATTTCACAATAAGACCTTGATAGTCTCCTAAACACGTGGAGTTATATAAACTATGTAAATATTTTGTATTAATTTCATTTTCATTTTTATCTTATTTTATAGAAGTATTAATATACTGTAAGTGAGCAAAAATTATATTTTATGAAAATATAGAAGGATTTACTGATTTGAACAGAAAAAAGATTTGACTTGATTTTCGACAATTTTTTTTAAAGCGAATAATTCCTTCCGTAATTTTTCTTTATCTGTTTATATTAAAAAATATATACAATATATTACAATATATTATATACAATATATTACAATAATATGAAAGAATAGAATGATGTCGAAAAGCTGCAACTTAAAAATAGCAGCTGAATCTCTTGCCAAATACCTTCGAATGTGACTTATATTGTAAGTATATTATACAATACACATATATGTTACAACATTAAGAATAAAAAAAATTAAAAATATTCATCAATTATTGTTTCAATATTAATGAATGAAATTTCGTAAACAATCATTTTGTAATAGTTTAACCATTTACAACATATTATTTTAAAAACTAATTTGAAAATAATTCTTGTAAAAATTAGGTTATATGAACTTTTCTATAAAAATTCAAAAATTAACATCATTAATTCTTTTTTCATTAAAAAAATGATAAAAATATTTTGTCATATATTATAAAATATATGATAAAATTATGATAAAAATAAAAAATTATATATAAATAAATAATTTATAAAATCCATAATTCATAAAATGCCACAATAACAAATATTTGTAATTTTGATCATACTTACTATGAAACGAATTGACAGTTATAAAGAACGCTTATAAAAAACACCCGCGCACAATAGTGGTGAGTGCGATATGTGAAATTAGAAATTAACAATGCACATATTCGACAAAGATATAGATATACATTTCACTAATTCGCATAAGCGAATGAACCATAATGAACGATCAAACGATTTAATACAGATGTAAACTGATTGTCTCAGCGACATCTTTCGAAGATTTCGTTATTTATTAAATGGCGCGTTTGACAAACTAATTATACTCATTTTTCCTCATATGCATAAAAATATTAATCCTAACAAAATTAATATATTTTTAATAGTTTTATATTAAAACAATGGTTTTTTTAAACAATTTTTTTATATTAAAACAATGGTATTTCTTTTTAAAAATATACACAATTTTTTTCAATCATATTACTTTATATTCACATTTTTTGTACAAAACAAATAATTTTTTTTCACAATGTCAAAAAACAGATTAGTCAAAAATACTAATATATTTTATTATTTGCAAATTGTTCGTAAAATAGTGACTCTTCTTTTTTGTTATCTTATACAATATGACTAACATGCGAATTATGTATTCATATTAGAAATAAAATAATTTTTTGTTATTTTACAGCAAAATATTTCTATAAATTAGACATTAATTTTATCCTGAATAATTATAAGCTTGAATATACATAAAAATCTTGTATACTTGACATAAAATAAAATTCGAAATCTTAATACTAGTAACGAGTAATGTTACATTTCAGTTATGATCTAATAAAAGATGTAAAATAAAAGATGTAAACATAGTACAAATGATCAGGATGATGAATGAATGTAGAATAAATAGCAAAAGTCATTGCAAAAAAAAAAAAAAGATCAGAACACACAATAGCTAAAACCTACTATTTACACAAATTGTTATATCAAAATATATGACCATTTTTATTACACAATTATATTTTTTTTTTGTATCGTGATCTTAAAACGCAAGTTAAGAATTACACCTCGTCCGATGCAAGCACCTCTCTATCAGTAGGCGAAGATGACTTTTCTTTTTTTTCATCTTCTTTCATATGAAGAGCAACTGCAGATTCAAGCACCCGTATTCTACCTTCATGTTTTACTATTACCGCTTTAAGTTTTCTTATTTCTTCCGTAAATTCCTTTAAAAGCTCCTCCTATAAAACAAATAATGATTAAAAAAATTTTCATCAAATGATATTATGTTTATGAATAACATACAGTGATGCCTGTTGAAGATTGTATAGCATTTTGTGCAGAATTCGAAGAAGCAACTTTTGCTCCTTTGCTTAATATATTTGATTTCTTATGTACTTTTAATTCATTCTTAGCAACTGAGGGTTGATAGCCATCTCTTAAAGAAATTAAAATGGGATCTGCATCCATTCCATTTTCCCATTCTTCAGCAGAAATTGCAGCAGTATCACCAGGAGTATCAGGATATAAATCTTCTTGAAATAATTCAGACTGAAAACGAATTAATAATATTAAAATGATTAAAATTCGATTATTTATTATATATTGAGAATTTATTTATTGAAAATTGTACCTTTCTTGGTACAGTCATAGATATAACCTGGCAAAAACCTGAATTGTTGAGCCGGTAAAATCTAATTATTTCACAGCTATTAACATCACAGCCTCGTTTTGGCATCATTCCTATACCTCGTTGAGGATCAGGAGTTTGAAATGTATTGATATAATGAACAAAAGGAGGTTCAGGAGTAATTTCAAAATATCGAATTACAGAATCACCCTTTCCGCATAAATATACTAAATTTGTGTCGGGATCATATAAAGGAAACATAACTCCGTTACTTGTATCCAATTCTACCATTACTATAGGTTCACCTAACATATCTGGAGCACGCAGAGAATATTGCCTCTCAGACATTTTACTGAAACCTGTGGTAAAGATCAAGCCTCCCCTGAAAACACATTAAACACACATCTTTGTGGATACAGAGTTTTACAAATATTCATGTACAAATATAAGATCCTATAAAAATATATTATTCATATTTAGATATTACATCCTTAAAGGATATAATCATTTACTTTTATTGCTTTCTGAATTTTTTTATTTAAGTTAATCATCAAAACTGAATAACATCCACCTTGTTACAACATTTGAAAAACTGTGTCTCTTGTATTAGATACACACGTATGAAATAACATAAAACAAATAAAATGATCATTAAAAAACTTTATTGTTTGCACAATAAATTATTATAATTTAGTTTTTAAATAAATATCAATGCATCAACTGGTTACTGAATTTTTAAATAGATATATATACCTGAATCGATTTGTCTGTTTTTCGAAACAGATATCATTAATACTTAAAACTGCATTAATGATCTTTTAAATATTAGTGTAGTTATTTTATACTATATTTCTGAATTTATCAACATATATAAAATGTTATATTTTAAAATAATAACTTGATAATATACGATACTTACTGAAACTTTTATGTGGATATTACACAGTGGACACCTTGATATTTGCATTTATTAAGTTGACATCCTCCTGCCGAGTTGAATTTCAATCTTCAAGTTTTCCATTAAAAAATACCAAATCTCGCACTACACAAATTGGAAAGACCATGTGATAATAAAAAGTAAAGATATTTTTAATGTGCAAATAGATCAATCACATGTCATTAAAAAATACTATAATCTGCTATAAATATAATCTGTTTTAAGATAAATATTTTATTTATCTTGAGTAAATTTATTGTGTAAGAAGGCGGATGTATATTGTTTGATGATTATTTAATGTGAAAGATATGTTGATAGTGTTTTGCATAATAAAAATATTTATTATTCTCAAACACATATTTCAGTAACATTTATTTAAAATTTATCAACATTTATGTGCATAATAATAAATTTGTGATTAAATATAATTAAAAAAACTGAAAAAAAGCATTTATAAATGTTAAATAAATGAAAATTTACATACCTTAGAAAAATTGCACGTGTAGCTTTACTACCTTCATGTGCAATAGCTTCCTCTAATATTTCTCCATTTCTTGGATCTAAGATTCTAATTTTTTTATCTTTACAAGTAGTAACTACTTTGGATCCATCCCAATTCCAACATGCAGAGTAAATCATATCTGGATGACAATCTATTCGTACTATGGCTTCTCCTGTGCCTACATTCCAAATCAATACAAGATTGTCTGATCCAGCTGTGAGCAATATATTTAATGCTGATGGATGCCATAATACAAGACCAACTCTACGTTGATGTAACTGAAGATCTACCACAGATTCAGTTAATGTCCTAGAAATACCTCCATCAGGTATTTGCCATACTTTAACTACACAATCTTCTGAACCAGATGCTATGACATTATCATTGTGAGGACACCATGCAATGTCTAAGACAGGGCCTTTATGTCCACCAACTAAAGGATAATCAGCTGGTATTCGACCTACCTATAATAGTATAAATAATCAAAACACTACTTTTTAAATATATACACTATAATATTTAATTTAGAAAAAGTAAATCTTAAGTAATTCTAGGTAAATTAGATATTATAGAATAATCAAGAATAAAACTTACTTTGTTATGCGGCAAGACTATAAAAGCACCACCGCCTGCAGATTCTACGATGATAGCGAGGAATTTGGGGTTTACAGCACAGAAAGTTGAATCCCATGAAGATTTAGACACCCTTATATTATCGTAACATTGTTCACGTTTCAAAGCCGTTCCGTACACGTGGCGGAACTTGCTGCTGCGCACTACACGAAAAGACATATCTGCACCTACTTTTAGTAACAAACAAAAAATGAAGAAAATGATGATTAACCTAAAGGATAAAAATGGTATCTTGTCGTGCTGCTTATTATGATTATTTTAATAAATTATTGTTACGTGTCCACAGTCAACGTGGGCGTCGCGTGGACCATCCCCGTTTTATAAATAGATTCCCCACCCTTGACGTGTTGAAATGAGCGCGACTGAAATAAGAATATTTTTGAATCTTGACTTTTACTGTTTATAAGTTTAATACTCATCCTGCAGTCTAGATTATATTTAATCTCAGAGTTGCTAATTATTATGAATACTTTTAAAATATTTGATAAACCATAATATATCAAATGAAAAATAAATCTGATCCACCCAAAATAAACCGGTCGCCGCTTTTATACGACAATGATTCACACCAATCGTCATAGCGTTCCTGAATTTATATTACTATACTCTAACCAGTGCCGTCTAAGGTATGGATTGTACTCAAAATAACGTTATTATGATATTTTCAGATTTGTTTTCCACATTTAAATTCATGATGTCACGATTTTTGATATTATGCCAAATGAAAAATAATTGGGGAAATATCAAAATTTTCATATGGAAAATACATTTAGGTCAATTATATTCTTGTTCATGCTTCGATTCTTTTATATATAAAATTAACATATTAGAAATTGGATTTCTGTTGAACTTCTTTCAATTAAGTAGAGCAGAATTTTTTAAATGGAACAGAAACGAAAAGATTCACTTTTGATTATTGAAAAGATACATTTATTATTTCTTTTAAATATTGTTTCTTTATTTTATCCTAAGAAACAAATATATCATATCAATTAAAAAGTTGCGAAAACTGATTATATTAAATTGCACTGCTAAAAAGTTAAAAGAATAACTTCAACATGTTAATTATTTGTTCTGCTATCATCAACGAATTGACGCTGACTGCTATCTTCCCGTACTAACTGTATCTAATCTATCACGTGTTTGTATACAACATATACGTATAAAGATTCACATGCGTGTTCATGATCAAACATTATTCTACTTTATTTTATTGATTACAATGCAAAATATATATATATATATTATAATATTTTATTATATATATACATATATATATATAATATATATATTATAATGAATGTTTTTTTTAAATACAATATTAAATTTTAACATTCCCGCTAGTAATAATGTTGAATCGTAATTCAATAAATGACCACATAGTAGCGCTATTGACACGAACGATTGGATCATTTGAGAGCACCTTATTTGGAAATGCGCACCCTGCTTCTGCAAATACATACCCCCGAAACTATTTCTTCTGTCACATTATGATATACATATATGCGTATACCCATAAAATTTTTTATGATTAGTTTCTTGTCTCACCTTCTTTTTTTTGTTTAAGCACTTTTACTACTATATCAATTAAACGGATTGCAATGCACAAGATAAAAAAAATCTGCAAGTAGTTCTTTGAAAGCGACAAACTTATTACTTGAATGTTTTTTCTAGAACATTATACAAAAAGAATTCTCACCGACAAATTTTTTTCCGATGACAGACGATGCACGC